GCTCTGGGCTGAGGAATACTAGTTCCTGACCCCCATGGAGGAGGTACCCAAGGGCACGCTGGCTCTCGGCAGCTGCAACATCAAGTCCCGCTTCACAGATAATGACAAAACCGACCACCTGTCCGGGGAGTGGAACCTTACCATCAAAAATGAGTGGAAGGACTGAGCCCGGCATGGGGGGAGGCAGGGCGATGCATGGAGGGATGTACGTGCCCTACCTCACCCCAGCCCCCACCCAACCCCATACCAAAGTCCTGACAGAGCCCCTTGCCTGTTGCTATCTTTCCCCCTGGAATCCTGGCCAGCCCAGCCCTCCCCAGCCCATAGGCCCTAGCCTCCAGGGTGGCCTAGTGTCATTGCTGCTTCAGCCTGTGCTGTGGGGGAGGGAGGCTGCAGCCCAGGTCTCTGCCTCCCCCTTTGTCCCTCCATGTCCCCCTACCTGTTCTAACCCTACCTGAGGCCCTGGCTTTTCCAAGGGAGTGGTACATTGAATGGGATCTTGTGGGGTGCCTAGGTACCCCAGGGCCTTTTCGGTTGCCATGACTGTCCTCATCTCCCCTGCGGGGTGGGGGTGGGGTGCACAACGCAGGGCCTCAGGGGCAGGTCATCCTCCAGCTGTCACCCCTCCCTGGTCAGTTCATCCATCTCCGTCACTGTCTAACCATGATGCCTTAACATGCAGAATGTGTTCTGGGGCCATCACTAACCTCTGACCCTGTGTCTGCATGAGCATGTGGTCTCCACAGTCCCCACCCCACCCGCAGTCCCTGAGGCCCAGGATAGTGGGACACTGCTGCTGCTCCCAGGCCTGCCAGGGCCTGGCCAGCCCTCTCCCCCTTCCCCAGCCACTGCTATGGGGACAGCTCCAGGAACTTGGGGAAAGCCAAAATGCCAAAACTCAAGTCGCCTCCAGTCCCATCTGGGAGGCTGGGAGTCCTCACGTATTTGCTTTGTCTGTCCCAACAGGCAACACCCACACCCAGAGTCCACAGCCCCAACAAAGAGCCCTCGGCAGACAAAGCCTACAGCCGAGCCTTACTTGTCCCCCCGGGCCAGCCTGTAGTGGCATGACTGGCCTGTCTGTATTTATTGCCTCCATATGTGCCATCCTCTGGGTCTACTGGCCTGCCACCTCTACCCCTAGGCTCGGTGCCTAGATCCCTGGCAGGCCTTCCCCACATCCAGCCAGGACAACCCTGGGACCAAGCGTGCACAATCAAGAGTCGTCCCCTGTGCCTCCCCTTCCCTCTCATTCCTGGTCAGACCCGGGCTGGACCACACAGGAGCCTGTCGGTGCTTCTCCTTTTCTGACCAGGAAATAAACTTCCCTGAAGGTAAAAAAAAAAAAAAAGAATATCTGAGGTAGTTGCCTGATATGAGGACACATTCAAGCAATCTGACTTGGAGAGTGTGTATAAAGGGGTTCTTAAACTGTGTTGACACACACAAACTGTTTTTTAAATTTTTTTCCCTTTCAAACTTTAAAAAAATAAAACCTTGTTTTGTAAAATTTGATTTTAAAGGTTGCTTGTCTTGGAAAGTAGCCAATTGATCTGCCTTAGTGAGTGCCATTTTGTAACCGGATACCTGGCTCCTTTAATTGACAGCATAAAACTTAATCATGTGATGTTCTTTCTAAAGTATTATTGGACCCACTGTGTTGAATGAACTGTTTTTCAGTTTTTTCCACTAGGCCAAGTGAGATCTCTGAGTGCAGGATATAGGTGCTTATAAATGTTCATTGAATTAGAAACTGAAACTTACAAAATTAAATACCAGAACCTTTTCGTGGTAGCCTGAATGACAGTCATGACAAAGGTAGCATGGAATTTGGTTTTGGGTAATAAGTTCCATGACAATATTTCAAGAGGAAAATGGTGCTTTCTTAGTACAGTGGGATGTCATGCTCCAGATGAAGTGCCTTTAAACTCATCCTCCATAGGTGCTGTGACTAGGCCCGATGCTGGACAAACTGGAATGTTCTGCATTAGGGTGTTCATGAGTTCTGTCATTTTTTTCAAGGAGCCAGAGGAAGAGACAGCCATGGAGGATAGCCCCACTATGGTTAAAGTGGACCGGGGTGAAAACCAGGTTTTGCCATGGCAAGGAAGAAGACGCCTCCCCAAGGCACTTGGCTATATCACCGGTGATATGAAAGAATTTGCCAACTGGATTAAAGGTATGTATGCTTCCATTCCTTGGAGACATGGGAGGAGAAATGGCTCTGGGAGAAATGGTTTGCTGGCTCTCCCACTCATCTCTTTAATTATATTCACCTGCTTTCTATCTCTTTCCTCTCCAGTTTTTAACTTTTTATCTCCTAACTTGCAAGCCTCTTCAAATTTTTTTTATGGAGACGGTGCTCAAGGCCAGGGCCCTGCTTATATCGGAGGAGGGCAACTGGCTTCATCTTGTAATTTCAGTATTTAAAATCTGAAATTTTACCATTGGTAATTCATTCCTTTGGCTTAAGAGTCTGTACTTCTAAGCATGGTAAATAGGTGCATTTGAGGCTTTCTGGAACTGAGCTTCTAGTAGGGACAGTGTGGGTTGAGCGTAAAGAAACTGGATGCTTTTAAGAATCTGGGTGCCACTAAAGGGAAAAGGGTTTAGAGGGAAAAAAGCTTCAAAAAATATAAAAAACAAATTTCAGCTTCATCAGAGAGGATTTTGATGATTTTGCTCAAGGGGGCCCTAAACTTGGGAAGGGGCACCATTTGCTTTGCCACTTCCTTATCTCTGCCCATCTCATCTCTTCCAGATAAACCCCAGGTGCTCCAGTTCATTGATTGGGTTCTTCGTGGCATATCCCAGGTGGTGTTGGTCAACAACCCCATCAGTGGAATCCTGATCATGGTGGGACTCCTGGTCCAGAGCCCCTGGTTGGCTCTCAATGGCTACGTGGGAACAGTGGTCTCTACCGCAACAGCCCTGTTGCTCAGTCAGGACAGGTAAGTGCGTCCATCCAAGCCTGCTCTTCTCATTTCTAAGAACACAGGAGCCAACCAGGGGCTTGGGGCAGCACTAATAAAACCCCACCCTTCCCAGGAGAAACAGCTTTTATTCCACAGAACACTTTTTATTTGCTTTTAGTGAAAGGTCAGAGTATCATTTATAACCTCTTATTCAAGGTACCTGAATAAGTGGCCAGCCTGAATGATGCCAGATTCTCATGGCAGTGTATGGTAACCAGAGCTAAGCTGCAAATAATTCCCAGGAGTGGTTCTAAAGGGATCTTCTTTAATAATGATCAATTATTTATCATCAGCATTTTGTTTGAGCAAAAATGCGTGAGTTCATTAAAAGTCTTGGTGGCATGCTAATCCCCATTATATCTTGTTTCCATGATTTGTTTAGTAAATTCATTCTTCATAGACAGTATAAAGGTTAGTTCAGCTTCTACAGAGATGAATAACCACAAATTCCAAGTTAGCGAGTACTGACTTAAGGTAGTATTAGGCTATCCTCTGAACTATGTTAGGTTAGGAATAGCGTGAATTTTATAAACTGATCTGTCATGGAAGAAGTGATGGGCTGATTCCCACCCGGGATGTGGAAAGCTTCCGACTAACCAGGTCCTTCAAGGAGGCTGCCGGTCTTCCAAGTGTGTAAGAACAATGCATTAATCCCCAGTGGATTGTCACTATAGAACTCAGGTCTTGTAACTCTTACTGTGAATGGCCTAAGGAGATTCATCTGGGGAGAATCAGCAACTGCTGTGTTCCATCAGGTCCAAGGAGCCCAATTTGTTTCTTCCATCAGGTGCAAGGAGCCTAATTTGTTCTCTGTAGAGGGTGATTTTGTTTCTTAGGTTAAACCCTATTCCAGTGCACATCAAGAAATGGTCTTTCCACTTTGGAGATGTAGTCCAGGACTGCACCATATCAAATATTTATTCATTGCTTTCCTCCAGTGAAAGCTGACCCATTTTCCTTATCAGGTAGAAGACAAGCCATATTCTAATGTGCTAGTTTTCAAATCTCTTTTTTATTTTCCTCGGTCCGAAGACTGCATTAAAATAGCAAGCCTCTGTTTCAAGTGAATACACATCTTTTTATTGCTTTCACCATGGCGTTCACAATTTGTAGACATTGCCATTAAGTGAGTTGATCAAACCCAAGCATTAATTCTGAAAGTCAGTTGTTGAGAGGCTAAGTCTTTGCATTACCTCTCCACTGGCATCGTGTATAGTCCCAATTTCTGAAGGGCATTATCACTTTTGCTGGGTTAAACCAGCACAAATTCCATCACGTCCCACATGTCCCGAAGTATTATTTAGGGTAGATGAGGGATTTTTACACAGAGAGTCCCACCTCTAACGCTCTTTCCAAGAAGTGACATCATTTTGCTGTTGCACCGGTGCCTCCTGCTCCAGTTAAAAACAAGCCATGATGAAGCTCTCGTGCCATCCTCTACCACCCCTGCAGTGTGGCTCACTGGCTGTATCACCTCCCCCTCAGGCCCTGCATTCAACCTCACCCACTCACTTTATCATCTTCACACCCACGGCCCCCCTGCAGACTTCAACCTTGACTGCTGGGCCCTTCGTGGTGCCAGGTGTTGCCAACTCTCAGCCCTTAGGAGCCTGGCTTGTCAGCCCTGGGGCTCATTCTATAGAAATCGTTCCATTTCTCACTTGGGGCTTCTAGTTCCCAATTAGGTCATGGGAACCATTTTGGCCAGGAGTAGAAACTTCCCCATAAGACAACTTTTAGAAGTGAGGGTAAATGCTGAGAAGCAAAAAAAGAGCCCATGAAAATATTAGGTGCTAAATGTGCACTTCATTAAATGGAGTGCTTTGCCAAGTAAAAGAAAAATAATTATTTTTATTTATAATAACTTGGAAATATATAATATTTGGAGACAACAAAATGGAAGCACGGGAAGATGGAAATATATGCTAAGTTAGAAGATTAATTTAGTTTACAAGATCAAAGACACTATAAAAGTGAATTTCCTTTTCAAGAATCTTACATCTCTTACCAAGAAAATCACACTTCGGAAACAGTTTCATCTAAAAGCTCTATTTAAGTCAGAGACCAGCCATTAATGATTTAAAAGAAATAATAAGGGGCCGGCCGAGTGGCGTGTTGGTTAAGAGCTGGCTTGGGATGCCAGAGGGCCCCGGTTCGGATCCCACATATGAGGGCCAGTGACACTG